TTCTCCTTGAGTGTGAGCAGGATTTGTCATTTTTTATCAACAACTGAAACCAGTAAAGGGAGATGTACTTCCATCACTATTTTACATCCAATTGCAATCTCTACCCTCCTCACCGTCTCTCTGTGGAGCTGGCTCTGATGAAGTAATGTGTGACTGTGACAAGTCCTTTTGAAACACACAGGCACTGTGGCTCCGCTGAGGAAAAATCTGGCTGGTGACAAACTTGTCTGGGATGACTTGGCCCCCCAGCTTTTGCTGTACTCCTATCCTAACTGTGCCAAGTATCTCAGTGAGCAAATCCTTTGGGGATGTCTGGGGAGGACGATGGCCATTGACCTCTGGAGCTCACACACAAGTCTGGGTGTCTGTGCATTGCTATGAAATCTGTATAAATACCTAACAGGCTCTCTAGGAAGGGTTGCCTCTCCGTAGAGCATGTTCTATTCCCAGAGCTCATGCAGCAGAAGCAAGCGTGTACCTCTCACGGCCGGGTTGCATGCTGCCAGGCACGGGACATGATCAGTTTTCAAAGTCAATGCTAACCAAAAGAGAGAAGACTATGAGTTTGCTCATCAATGCCATCTTTTCATTACCAGAAGAACGGTAAGTTTCAAAGCTGACTACAGCATTGCTGTGCTCTCGCCTCCCATGAAAGGGCTGTTTCTGCACAGGTTCCAGCACTGCCCCTTCGCTTAGAGCAGTCGCCTCCATCTCGTTTGTTCTCCTCTGAAGCAACCTGAAATCTCAGGAACATGTTTCCCCCGGGGAGAGGGCGTTTCTGTTCTTTCAGAGCCCCTTAGCTCTCTCTGCCTTCCACTTTATTCAGGGCTGCTTGGAGGCCAACTGCTATGAAACAAAGCAAAACAAAACACAAAGTGAGAGTAGGCGGTGAAGCAAACGCTTCCTGGGATCAAAATCAATCTGACAAAGTATCTTTCCACCAGATTCTTTTGTTTGTTTATTTATTTATTTTGCGGAGGTGGGGAGCAGGGTTTAAATTTAGGAAACATATGGGTAAGTTGGATAAGTTAATATAAGTTAATATTAATATAAGTTAATATAAATGCTGGGGTTCTGGATTCATTGTTATTGCTGCTTATGCACAAATTACACCTCACTTTTAGAATTGTAGGACAGGATAACAAGGGACATTGAAAAGGGGAAGAAAACTTTTTAGTAAAACCCTTGGATAAACAAATTAGCTCTTAGTATGGTTGTTTGCTTAATGAATTTTTGTGTCTCATCCCTGCCCCATCCTTCTTCTTTCTCTTTCTCTTTGCCACAAGGACTTATTTTGTGACTTTTGTTCTCTCTCCTTTATTTCTACCCCTTACCTCTCCTCACTAATACTTTTCAACTACATTGAGGAGCTTGTAAAAATTCTTGGAAATATTGGATGAAAAGATATTAACATATGTCTATAAACTTTTGAAATCCCCTCATACACATAGCATCTGATCTCTTTGTGACCCATCC